AGAAGGCAACCACTGAAAATACACCTTCTGTCTCTATAAATTTGCCATTTCTGGACGTTTCATATCAGTGGAGCCATTTGACATGTAGTCTTCTGTTTCTGTGAACATAATGTTTTTGAGATGTATCTGTGTTGTAGCATGTCAGTATTTTGTTCCTTTTTATTGGCAAAGAATATTAAAGAGTATGTATAGACCACGTTTTATCTGTCGTCTTACCAGTTGGTGGACATTTGAGTTGTTCCCATTTTTTGCCTATTATGTGCAGTGTTGCTAAGAACATTGGTCTGTAAATCTTGGCTGGATAAATGTTTTTGTTTCTCTTGGGCAGAAAGAATTGCTCGGTCATGTGGTAACTTTAAGTTCAACCTTTGAGAAACTGTTGAATCACTTTCCAAAATGGCGGCACCATTTTACGTTCCCACAAGCAGTGAATGGAGGAGGTTCCTGGTTCCCACATCCTCACCAACACTTGTTATTGTCTGTCTAGCTGTGAATTGGTGTCTTGTGCTTTCAATTTACATTTCCCTAATAATTAATGATAATGAGCATCTTTTTATGTGCTTTTTAGCCATTTGTGTATCTTAGGTGAAATGTTAATTCAAATCCTTTATCCACTTTTGATTGGGTTGATTGTCTTATCAATGTTCTTTGCATATTCTAGATGCAAATTCTCTATCAGATGCGTGTTTTGTATATATTTTCTCTTACCCTGTTGCTTATCTTTTCATTTTCTTAATGGTGTCTTTTGAAGCATTCAAGTATTTAATTTTGCCGATGTCCAGCGTATCAATTTTTTTGGCTTATGGACCTTACTTTAGGTGTCATATCTACAACATCTTTGCAGTTATAACTCAAGGTCCTGAAGATTTTGTCCTAAGTTATCTTCCAAAAGTCTTATTGTTGTAGCCCTTACATTTAAGCCTGTGACCCATTTTGAGTTAATTTTTGTGAGTGGTGTGAAATGAAGGCCCAAGTTCATATTCTTGTGTGGATTTCCATATGGTCCCAGCACCATTTGTTGAAAAGACTGTTCTGTCCCTGATGTACATTTGATCCTTGGAACAACATAGGTTTGAACGGCACAGATCCATTTATATGCAGATATTTTTCAATAAATATGATACAGTAATATACAGGCATTTTCTCTTCCTTATGATTTTCTCAGTAACATTTTCTTTTCTGTAGCTTACTTTCTTGTAGGAATACAGTACATAATACATATAGTATGCAAAAGGAAGTAAAAGTCCTTCAACTTTTTCAAAATTATTTTGGCTGTTCTTGGGTTTTTGCAATTTCCTATAAATTTTAGGATCATCTTGTTCACTTCTGCAAAAAAGCCTGCTGGTCATTTAAAAACATTTTTAAAATAGAATTAACTAAGTCTTCTCATCCATGAACATGAGGTGTTTCTCTGTTTATTTTGATCTTCTTTAATTTCCCTCAACATTTTCAGATTTTCAGTGTACCAGTCTGACACTTTTGTTAGAGTTATTCTTAAGTGTTTTTATTTTTATTTTTTTTAAATGAACCTGGCTTCTGACAAAAGGAATAAATAATAGGATGGTTGTCACCAAGGGGAGTGGGTGGGTATACCTGGTCACTTTCACTTTCATCATAAGAATAAGTTAAATCTGACATAATATTGGTTTGATTTTTTTTAATGAAAAGGAAAGCAAAGAACTATCTATATGACCTGTGTGTGCAATTTAAAGACTATTAATAATAATAATAATAATAATAATGAATACCTGTATCAGACTAAAAAAAACAAAAAACAAAAAACATTACTAAGACCCTATGCCCTGTCTGATTCAGTCCCCCTCCCTTCCTGCCTGATGGCAAGCTCCTGAATTTTTTGTCAATCATTCCTTCATTTTGCTTTCTGGTTTTACCATATGTGTATTTAACTATAAACAACAAAATGTTTACTTTCGCCTGTTTTGGCCTTTATATAACTGTAATCATAGTGAATGCATTTTTGTGTGACTTATTCTTGTTTGCATTATGTTCCTGAGATTCATCTATTTGAAACATGGATTGTATTCCTTCCTTCCATCCACCCACCCACCCATCCATCCATCCATCCATCGGAGCTTTATGGTATTCCATTATATGAGCATATGACAGTTTATTTTTTCCAGCTACTGATGGTCCTTTGGGTTATTTCTTTTTCCCTTTCTTTCTTTCTTCCTTTTTTTTTTCTTTTGCTATGAATAATCCTCTACTGCACAGGTTAGAGTTTTTTTAGGGTCTCGCTAGGAGCAGAATCCCTGGGTTGGAGGGAATGTGCTTCAAGTTGATTGGGTAATGGCAAGATATGCTCCCAAGTAGAATGCCAATCACACTAAACTTCCACCATCAGTGGATTAGTTTTCTAATGTTGCTATAACAAATCACTACAAGCTTAGTGGCTTAAAACAATGCACATTTATTATGTTACAGTTCTGGAGGTGAGAAACTTGAACGGGGGGGGGTCTTACTACATTAAATCAAGATGTCAAAAGGGCTGTGTTCCTCTCTCGTGACTCTGAAGGAGGTGCCATGTTCTTACCTTTTCCAGCTTTTACGGGCTGTCCTCATTCTTTGGCTCATGGCCCCTTCCTCCATGTTCAAAGCCAGCAATGGTGCAATTGAGTCTTTTCTGACATTGTATCCCTGCAACACTGATTCACTGCCTCCTTCTTCTACACACAAGGACCCCTGTGACCACACTGGGCCCACTGGAATAATGCAGGATAACCTCCCTATTTTAAGGTCAGCTGATGAGCCATCTTAAATCCGTCTGTTTTAATTCCCCTTTCTTAGGTAGTGCAACATGGTCACCAGTTCTGGGGATTAGGAGGTGGACATCTGTGGGGGCTATTTTCTTTCCTACGACTGTTAGTATTGAAGGTCTTCCTTGTTCCACAGAAACGGGGATTTAAACATTTTAGCAATTTGTATATGTATAAAATACTTATCTTAGTAACTATCTTAAAACAACCTGTTCACATTTTCAGCTCCTCCCCCTCTCTAGGCTTCTCTAATTTTTCCGATTTCTCTGTTGTCCCTGCATGAAGCACCGTCAAGTTCTGGAGGCAGAGTGCCTGGGATATCTCGCTATGAGCTGGGTGACTTGAGTAGGTCACCTTACCTCCTTAAGCTCCAGATTCCTCTCCTATAAAGTAGGGATCATTACCTTAGTCATGTAGCATTGCTATGAGAGTCACATGAGGTGGCGCCTAGAAAGTCTCAGCACGGTGCCTGACACGTACTAGAAAGTCAGTAAATGTATGAGCTTTTGTTATGTATTGATTCAGTCACCCATTCATGCAACAGCTCCGGAGTGCCAGACCCTGGACTCACTCGCCCAACATTCAGAACTGTGTATTTAACACCCATCGCTAGCTGTGAAGTCCATTTGTTGTGAGGCATCTACACCGCCGGGTTTTAATGCTCGATAAGCTTTATTGCCATGCTACGTACTGTGTAGAATGTGATGTGTACTGAAGGTCCAGTTCCTAGAGCTCCCTTCCTCAGAGGGGCAGAGAGCTGGGCTCACTATGCTCTTCATGTGTGTCTATTTGTTCGTGAAAGACACACAGGAGCAGAAAGTGAGAGAAGTTTTTCCTCACTGACCTCAAATGATTCCCAGGTTCCGGAGTGGACCACGTGTCATCTGAAAAAGGAAGCAAAGAATGCCTTCACCCTTTTATGGACAAGGAATCACGTTAACAGAGTTTTTCTTTAAGCCCTAATGTTGTCACTCTTGCTATTTTTTTTTTTTTTTTTAACTAAAGAGTACATTTCCTCCTTTCAATACCTGAGCTGACCTTCTGAGTTTTCAATTCCCTGAACAGCGACGATGGCAGCCAAAATTACTTGAATTGGAAGAATCCTGTCTGATCCAAAACTAAGTTTTTAATCTGTGGTTCATCATTCTGTTTTTCAGACCTAATTCTTTGCTTTTGGGAGACTTTTATGTGGTGTGGAAAAATGAAAGTAAATTCTTCAAGACTTTTTAAGGCCCTTGTTATCCATAGTGGTGGTGCTGTGCGTAACCCACATATATGCCAGCTACCAGGTGAATGAGAGTTTGGATAATGGGTGTGGGTAGGGAGTTAAAGAAAAAATTTTTTTTAATGTTTATTTTTGGGAGAGAGACAGAGACAGAGACAGAGCACGGGCAGGGGAGGGGCAGAAAGAGAGGGAGTCACAGAATCTGAGGCAGGCTCCAGGCTCTGAGCTGTGAGCACAGAGCCCAACGCAGGGCTTGAACCCACAGACCGCAAGATCATGACCTGAGCCGAAGTTGGACGCTTAATGGATTGTGCCACCCAGGTGTCACCTCCCTTAAAAAAAAGTTTTTTTTTTTTAATGTTTGAGGTGGGGAGTTTTAAAAATTGAGTTAAGGGGTGCCTGGGTGGCTCAATCGGTTAAGCATCCGACTTCAGCTCAGGTCATGATCTCATGGTTTGTGGGTTCAAGTCCCACAGCGGGCTCTGTGCTGACAGCTGGGAGCCTGGAGCCTGCTTCAGATTCTGTGTCTCCCTCTCTCTCTTGCCCCTCCCCTGCTCACGCTCTGTCTCTCTCAAAAATAAATAAAAACATTTCAAAAAATTAAAAATTGAATTGAAAAAAGACTAATGTATATGGTTTAAAATAATTGATTTTTAATTTTTTTGATTTTATTTATTTTTTGAAAGAGACAGAGTGTGCGAGCAGGGAAGGGGCAGAGAGAGAGAGGGAGAGAACCCCAAGCAGGCTCTGTACTGTCAGCGCAGAGCCTGACCTGGGGCTGTAACTCATGAACCATAAGATCCTGGCCTGAACCAAAACCAAGAGTCAGATACTTAACCGACTGAGCTACCCAGGCTCCCCTAAAATAAGTTAAATACTTGAACAATAAGGAGTGATTTATAACACATGTTCCATGAGAAAGAACCGTGTTGCTCCTTAGAACTCCAAAATTGACCTCCTTCTGGGCAGAATCTAAAACTTGACAAAATCCTTTCTCCCAGGCGGATGCATGCCACGCCTACCAGATTGTTCACAGAAACGGGATTCCTGATGAACAGATCATTGTGATGATGTATGATGACATTGCCAACTCTGAAGAGTAAGTAGGGAGTGTTTTTGAACTTGGTGATGAATTCGGGATTTTTTTTTTTTTTAAATGCATACCCGCTCAAAGGAATCTTTAGAATTAATATTAGAATATAAACATTAGAACGTGCACAGACTGGCAGATGAAATCCCACAGGGCTGCTTCATGTAGAGCTTTGAACACAACTGTTGGGGGGGGGGCACCCTGGCAGTGTCAGTTGGCATAGGAGCTGCTGAAGGGTGTTTGGGGCTGGTGGCTTTGGGAGAGTTTAAAGTGTAAGTTCCTTCTTGAGACACCTGGGTGGCTCCGTCGATTAAGCGTCTGACTTCAGCCCAGGTCATGATCTCACAGTTTGTGGGTTCGAGCCCCATGTCGGGCGCTGTGCTGACAGCTTGGAGTCCGGAGCCTGCTTGTGATTCTGTGTCTCCCTCTCTCTCTGCCCCTCCCCCACTTGCACTTCTCTCTCTCTCTCTCTTTCTCTCTCAAATAAAACGTCAAGAAAAGAATTAAAAAAAAAAAAGTGTAGGTTCCTTCTCAGCTTGGAGAACTCACCATTGGGCTCTGCAGTGCTCATTCCCGACCTCCGAGCAGGGGCAGGCAGCACAGAGGGGTTGCCTCGGTGGCCCTGTGCGCAGGAAACTCTTATTTATAGGCTGGATCCTACTGCCCTTCTTTCCGTGCTAATTTGCTTTTATTGTTTGTTGAATTCAGCTTTACAAATAGTCGTCTCATGCCTGCTTATCTGCCGTCTTGAGATCAGGAGCAGCATTATGGCTACTAAACTGCACCGGTGCTAGTCTCCCCCACTCCTTGTTTTCCCTGCTGTGGCCAAGGACGGCTGATCACACGACAGCACAGAATCCATTCTGAGCTTTCTTGCCTGAGCTCTTGTATTAAAGTCTTGTCTTCCGTCCCATCTGTTTCTGTAAAGAGTTTTGCTCTGAGACATCTCTCGCTCGGGTCTTGCCCCCAGAAGGCTGTACGGTTCCCGCAGGAGGCCAGCCACACCTGTCATTTTCAGGACAGCCCTTCACTGCTCCCACCAAGAACCGGAGAACTGTGGGCTGCCTGAGATCCCCAGGCTCTAAAGTCACTAGCACGTTGGCGGCTGTGAGGGTGATGAGAAAGGTCTCTGACAAACATGGTCACTCACTGTTTTTGTACGTAACGGGGGCATAGTTTTGAAGAGAGATTTCAGAGCCATATCACACCGCGTGCTTCAAATGTGTCCCTCGGTTTCTTTGTTTTCTTCAGCAACCCCACGCCAGGAATCGTGATCAACAGACCCAATGGCTCGGACGTGTACGCGGGGGTCCTGAAGGACTACACCGGCGAGGTGAGCGGTGCGAGGTTGGAGCCAGCAGGGCTTGTGTTCATTTCAGTGACAGTATGCCCCTCGTTCTCGCATTTCCGGGATCAGAACCTCACGACACTGATTTCTGGGCGGTGCTTCGTGTTGGTATTAAGATTTGCACTTGAGTAATTTCTGAGAGTTTTGAAAGAAAGCTGAGGAAAGAAAAGGAAAAAAGCTAGAAGTAAGTTGTAGTCTACTGATCTTTAGTTTCTAGTCTTTTCTTTGGTAAGTTTATTTATTTTGAGAGAGAAAGAGAGCGTGCGTGCGTGAGTGCGGGAGGGGCTGAGAGAGAGGGAGAGAGAGAGAATCGCAAAGCAGACTCCACGCTGTCAGCGCAGAGCCTGATGTGGGGTTTGAACTTACAAACCTTGAGATCGTGACCTGAGCCGAAATCAAGAATCAGGCGTTTAACCAACTGAGCCACCCAGGTGCCCCATCTAGCCTTCTACTTTAAGCCTGATAATGGATTTCCTTCAACAATACCTGATTTTCTTGAGATCTTAGCAGAGATCCTTGCTGCTAATCTGATTATAGAGCTGTGCTCTTTTCTGAAAATGGATTTTCTCAGCACCAGCCCTGGTGCAAAGAAAGCATCACTGGATTTTGCTGAGATAGTTTTTCATTAATTGTAATTGTGTATCACGTATGAATTATATCGCTCCCGATTGAATTCTGTCCCTCCCAATTGATTGAGGCTTTATCAATTGACACATTTTTGAAGATACCATAATGACTGCCACCGCATGGCTTTCCGGATTGTAGAGGGATCTCTTAGGAACTAATATTCCTGGTAATAAAGGAGCATCTATCTGAAATTCAGCAATTCTTTCAATTTTTTTTTTTTAAATTCCAGCACAGTTGAATTGAACACATCATGCTTGTAACATAGATGGTCTCATTTTTATGAAATTGTTTTTATATAGTGTGATAAAGAAATACCTGGAATCTTAGTGGTAGGGGGTAGGGTTTTTGGTGATTGTTTTTCCCCTTTGTACTTTTCTGTATTGCTTTATTTTTATTTTTATCTTTTATTTTAGAGAGAGCATGTACAGGAGAGGGGGGCAGAGGGAGAGAGAAAGAATCTTGAGCAGGCTCCACACTCAGCACAGAGCCCGACTTGGGGCTTGATCCCATGATCGTGACCTGAGCTGAAATCAGGAGTCAGATGCTTAACCGACTGAGCCACCCAGGTGCCCCTGTATTGCTTTTTTAAACGATCAGGCATCAGCATTATAAAATCTTTAAGGACATCAGGTGTCCTTGGGATTTGACCTCCTAGGCAGCAAGCTGGATGCAAAGGGAGGCCCAGTGCTGGTGCTTCTCCTCCCTTTCTGCTGTGCCTCTGAGGTGCTTTGCTCTTCCCTGGCTGTGTGTCCCTACCTACCAGCATCTTTGGGTTTCCGCACATGGACTCTGGGATGTTTAGGAAGGAAAGGCGGGCTTGCTGAGTTGCCATCAGCCAAAGGCAAGATGATATTTGAGAAGAGGTCATGCACAGGCCCCAGAAACACTGGCCTTGCTTTGGGTCTACCTTGGTTCCAAAGTGTTTGCTCTTAAACCTTGAGCCTCAGAGATCTGTGGACCGCTGGCTCAGGTCTGCTACAGACTCAGCAAATGCTCTGATTGAGAATGACACCTATGTCTGATTTTGACTTCCAAATTCTTTGTAGGATGTGACCCCAGAAAATTTCCTTGCTGTGTTAAGAGGTGATGAAGAAGCAGTGAAGGGCAAAGGATCTGGAAAGGTCTTGAAGAGGTAATGTCTGTTTTATAAAGGCTCCCACACTTTCCTAATGACTTGGCCCCCAAATAGGTGTTGTTCTTTGCTCCCGTCCTGTTTACTCATGAGAAGTAACAGAGCGGGAGCTTTGTCCTGACTTACGACAGGCCGCACGGAAGTGATGGCTTCACTGGGGAGCGTATTTCTGTACTGAATTAACCCTAGGAGCCAGGGTCCTTCATTATCATTAATGAAATGTTCTCTGTCACTTGAAGCGACTGCTTTTTGTTGTCCACGATCCTAGGGCTGGTATTTTTCACTGCCAGCACAAAACACTGAGACAGGCGGGAAGCCCTGCGGCCGGTCGGGTTGTAGGGTCTGGCCTTCCAGTTCTGTGCTGTGTTCGAGGTCAGCCCAGTGGGGGAGAGGCGTACATGCGTATACACAGCTCTCACCTTCGTTCTGGGGAAAACCACCCCACTGCTTGCTGCCGGCCCTGGGTGACCGTGACCGATGGCTTGTTAGCATCTCTTCATGTAGCACTTTAAGTGATGTCAGGGACTTCAGTAACATGCCCTCAGACTCTCTCAGATCCTTGGCAAATGGTGCTGTTCCTTTCATGCCAGAAGGGAACAGTGGGCACAAGGATGGGCAGGTGGGCCGGGCACACAGTGGGCAGACTGTGTGCAGGCTGAGGGGCCTGGAAGGGAAGAAGTCTGAGCTGAAGGACTGTGTTCAGCTGTGTGTGCTGACCTCCTTCCCTCATCTTAGGGCATTCTGGTTGGAGAGTATGGCCACTGGCATGAGGCCCGATTGCCAAAGGACTTCAATGTTTGAAAAAAAAAAAAAATTTTTTTTAATATTTATTTATTTTTGAGAGAGAGACACACACACACACACACACCAAGTATGAGCGGGAAAGGCACAGAGAAAGAGGGAGACACAGACTCCTAAGCAGGCTCCAGGCTCTGAGCTGTCAGCACAGAGCCTGACGTGGGGCTTGAACCCACAAACCTTGAGATCATGACTTGAGCCAAAGTCAGACGCTCAACTGACTGAGCCGCCAGGCGCCCCAAGGACCTCACTGTTTGAATCATACCTGGTCCATAAGCCAAGCCACCCGGCAGATGTCTCCTCCCGGACTGTAACTCACAGCTCTGAGGCTCTGGGATGTGCCTTGTGGTTCAGGATCACCCTCAGCAGGAGCAGAGGGCACCACCCAACAGTAGACCGTAGTCCTGGAGCATCTTCTTACTTTTTTGATGGAGCAACTTTTCAGAGAAGTCAAAGTGAAATAGTGGAAATTTTGACCTTGTGTGTCCTGCTCTCTCGGCAGCGGCCCCCGGGATCATGTGTTCGTTTACTTCACCGATCATGGAGCTACTGGAATACTGGTGTTTCCTAATGACGACGTGAGTTTTCCTTAAAATTATAAATGCAAAGTAGGAGACTAGCAAACAAAACCTTGGCATTGACATGAAACCTGGGATGTGTGTTTCTCATGTCCTGCCAGGGTTGGTTTCTGTGTGTGGCAGGTGAGTGTGGGGGACACGCGTAGCGGCTTGAAATCTGTCTGGCAAGTTTTGCCTACATTTGTCTTCGTATCTGAGCCTTAGTAAAAGGTCTCCAGACCTGGGTGCATTGCAGTAGAGGCAGTAATAGAACACGGTCTCTGAACGCTTCAGACAAAGTGATGGAAGAGAGAGCACATTCTTGTCCCCTTTTTATTTTTTTTCTTTTAATATTTATTTATTTTTGAGAGAGACAGAGAGACAGCATGAGCAGGGGAGGGGCAGAGACAGAGGGAGACACAGAATCCGAAGCAGGCTCCAGGCTCCGAGCTGTCAGCACAGCCCGACGCAGGGCTCGAACCCACGAAGTGTGAGATCATGACCTGAGCTGAAGTCGGATGCTTAACCGACTGAGCCACCCAGGCGCCCCTCTCTTCCCCTTTTTAAATATTTGAATAAAACACATGAGATGCCACTTTGGGATAGTGCTGTTCACCGTGATTCTTTCTAAGGACCGGTAAATAACAATTTACAAAGCATCATTAGGACTTTTTTAGGGGGGTTCTCTGGAGATGTTGGTCTGAATGTCCGTATTCTTATGTTTCAGCTTCACATAAAGGATCTGAATAAGACCATCCAGTACATGTACAAACACAAAATGTACCAAAAGGTAACGTCAGCGCTTGGGGCAGCCTGTGGGGAGGAGTACAAGGAAGGCAGTAGACACAGAACCTGCCGTATACCGTGACTGCCCCAGCCCCAAATGGCTGTTTTCTGGGGAGTCTCCTCGGGATCGGTCTTGACCGCTGGTTTCCCGGGATTAAACTGTTGTAATTCTAGGGCTTTAGCTGTTAGATCAGGATCACTGGAGCTCTTGTTAAAACAAAGTGTGGACCCCACCTCCAGAGTCTGACTTGGAGGCCTGGGGAGAGGCTTGAGAACTTGCCTTTCTGAATTGACATGGATACTGATGGTCCAGGGACCACTTTGAAGACCACTGTTCTAGCACTGACTTCAACTGGGAGCAGCCGGGGAGGAAAACGCCATCGTCTTATTTTCACGTTGGCCGTCGCTCGCCCTTGTAGCACCCTTTATAGAAACTGACCAGCTCGAGCATGCACGTGATAGAAATGTGGAAAGAGGGCCTGCCGCACTGTCTCCCTGAACTGGACGGTGGAACAGTTTTCCTTAGCATTATCTATGGCACCATTCGCTCTGCACCATTTCAACTAATGGATCATTTTCGTCTGTTAGCGATGAATAGGTTTGAGTCCTTCCGGTTTGCACGACAGCAGGTTCTGTAGCCTCCAGCAGCAGCCTCTCACGGCAGAGATCTCTCCCAGAAGCAAGAGTTAAAAGACCCTTAAGGATGGGACAGGAATGTGAGCAGAGCCCGCATTTGTGAGAGGTCCGTGCCTGGCCAGGGTGTGAGGTCATGTGTCTCTTTCACCTCACAGATGGTGTTCTACATCGAAGCCTGTGAGTCTGGGTCCATGATGCGCCACCTGCCCTCCGACATCAATGGTACGTGGTGGTCGTGCTGGCCTCTGAGCCAGGCTGGGTGGGCAGGTTGCTCAGTGGCGCAGTTGGTCATTGATTCTGCCGACGTGAAGAACCAGGCGATGTGTATAAGAAGGGGCTTAGGGCAGCCTGGTGCACAGAAGCAGGGGTGAAGGGTTTACTGTGGGCAGGAATAAAGAATAAATAAACAATAAAGAATGTGATGTGAGCTTCATGGTGCTCTTCCAGGTTCTAGTAAAGCTACTTAAGTCCAAGATCACATAGCCTTTGGACCAGCTTCGGTCCCTTTGTGATGCACTGCTTGCCGGCCATCTGATCTTGGGCAGTTGACTTACCCTCTTTGGCCCTCAGTTACCCCCGTCTGTGAAATGGGGATGAAGATGCTGTCTGTTGGGAGAGTTGCATTTTAAGTGCTACCACTTGCCTAGCATGATTTTGAGCCCATAGCAGCTGGGTAGTAAACGGTAGCTATTGTGTATATTCAAAGTGTTCGTTTGTTTGGTAAATGTTAGCTTTCTCCAGAAATGAAATTAGGTACACGTTCAAGTTTCCAGAGCTATTGAAATGGTTCAGATTATTCTAGAATCGCTTAACATCCTAACAAGCACGTGGGCTGCTTATTACCGCCGGCCGCGTCCGTCAGCCAGCTTCTCTGTCTTCCCCATTTCATCTTAGGCAGTTGCTGTAAACAAGTGAGCAGGGCTGGGTACGGCCGTGTCTCTCTGTCCTGCCCGTGCTGTTGGCAGGTGACGAGCTCTGATCACACCGGGCAGGAGGAAGAGGCTCACGCATCGGGTGGGAGCCACGGCAGAGGGGAGAACATAATCAAAAGATGTCTTTAACTCCTACTAGTTTACGCGACCACGGCTGCCAACCCCACCGAGTCGTCCTATGCCTGTTACTATGATGAGAAGAGGTCCACGTACCTGGGGGACTGGTACAGCGTCAACTGGATGGAGGACTCGGATGTGGTGAGTCCCGAGGGTCCGGCCGTCCAGCTGAGGCTGAGCCGTCAGCTCTGACTTGTCAGAGGACTTCAACGTTTGCATCTTTGCAGGAGGACTTGACCAAAGAGACCCTCCACAAGCAGTACCAGCTGGTGAAATCCCACACCAACACCAGCCACGTCATGCAGTATGGAAACAAGGTGAGAAGGGCAGCCTGGCCCTCATGGATTCCCGAGCCTCAGGCTGACTCACCTGGAACGTCGATCTCTTGGCGAAGAGAGATGGGGACCCAGGGGAGAAATGGCCAGGGCGGCGATGTCCCTGCCTCTCAGAGCCAACTGCATCCTGGGCCCCGGGCCCGGGCTCTGGAGTCGGACCTTACCAGGCTCAAACTCTCAGAGTTGTGAGATTCAGGGCGAGCTCCTTAGCTTCACTGAATCTCCCTTTCCTCCTTGGTCAGAGCCTCAGTGTACAATTAAAGAAGGTCGTGCACCCAAAGCACTGAACAGGGCTGGCACACACTAAGAGGTCCCTGGATTGAAAGCTTCTGCCTCCTAGGACCCCACATCCTGCACGTTGCACTTGTTACTTTCACCCTTTGGCTAGAACTTAGGGACTTCCGCTCCCCCCTTCCCCTCCCCGCCACTGCCCAGAAGGGACCTAGGTGGTTAAATGGGTAAGATGATCAGGGCTGCCTAGACAGAGGTCACAGCAGGTGTCTGCTGAAGGCTTGGGCCTTACGTGCCACCACGGGCAGGCGTGGGGTGGGGGGGCAGCCCTTGGGATGCGCAGAGGAGGAGGGGGTCTGTGTACCTCTCCATGTGACCAGACACCACTCCCCAAGCGGCCTGCCACCATCTGAGTGCTCACCCGCTGAGACCCGTTCCTCTGATCCAAGCATGGGCCTTCTAGAAAAACCTGTGAGCTGGTCAGGCCAGCTGCCTTCAGCTCGTCCCTCACAGAGTGTGGACTGGGGCCTGGAGGCCACGAGACAGGCCTTCAGGATGCCACGGGCCTGGCCGGGCTTCTGAGTGGGGGTTCCGGAGCGGGGAGCAGAGAGAAGGCAAGGGGGGAGGTGACTTGGACGAGGCAGGGTCAGACGTGGCACCGCCCTGGCCGTGTGGGGGGTTCACGGGGGAGAGGGCACCCAGCCACAGCTCCTTGTCCCTGGCTTCCTGTTCACTTTGTGATTTCCTCGGCGCTGGCCCTTCCTGGTCTTGGTCGAAGAGGTATGATGGATCTTTGCCAAATGTTACATGTTTCTGCGTATTTATTTTTTTGTCTTAGAACTTTTTTAGAGTATTGTTGCATGGTTTAGGAACAAGAATACTTGTAGCATTTCTCTCCCTCTGATTGGGATCCAGTCTGGAGTGACCTGTGCAGGCAAACAGAGTCTGGCCATCGTGCTTGTTTGGCCCCGACTGTCAGCCGGACCCTCTGTGGCTTTAGCTCTGTCCATCTCAGTGGACCCAGGCCTCAGCTGCAACCTGAATGGACGCTTTGCACTTTCCTATTCCTGGTCTCTAGGGACAGGCAGGTTAACATGGATAGGGGAACACAACCCAGGTCGTCACTGGTTGAAACGACTCTGGCCCCAGCTCTGCATGACTGTGGAGTAAGGATCGTCTATATATGAAATAATTAGCAGTTCTCCTCCAAAGGATGCTGGATATTTATTTTATTTTATTTTATTTATTTTTTTTTAATGTTTATTTTTGAGAGAGAGAGTGAAAATGGGGGAGGGGCAGAGACAGAGAGGGAGACACAGAATCCAAAGCAGGCTCTAGGCTCCGAGCTGTCAGCACAGAGCCCAACGCGGGGCTCAAACCCACAAGGCATGAGATCATGACCTGAGCCAAAGTCGGACGCTTAACTGACTGAGCCACTCAGGTGCCCCTGGATGCTGGGTATTTTTGAAGTTCATCATCGGTGGATTTCAGGAGCTCAAATGTGTTGCATTGCTCACTGCTGAGGGCCAAGCCTCTGTTTTCCGGCTGCAACTGTGGCTGTTCGGTGGTCCTGAAACCACGTGGTGTGAACTGTGAGCCTCCCACGGAGAGGCGGGACCCAGGGTATGTGTGGCACATCCACTCTTCCCACTCAGACTGGTTCTCTCCGTCTCTCCTCAGTCGATCTCTTCCATGAAGGTGATGCAGTTTCAGGGTATGAAACACAAAGCCAGTTCTCCCATCTCCCTGCCTCCGGTCAAGGACCTTGACCTCACCCCAAGCCCTGAGGTGCCCCTCACCATCATGAAAAGGAAGCTGATGAGCACCAATGATCTTCAGGAGTCCAGGAAGCTCGTGGAGAAGATCCACAGGCATCTGGACGTAAGTAGTGGTTAAAGGAACCATCTCCGGATACTGCTCCCAGCCTCACCGGGCAGCATGTATGAACTTGGTCTCTGCCTCCTGACAGTTATCCAGCATTGTTGGAGCCAGGTGACAGCACTCTGGGGCCACTCCGCCTGGCACACGGGGGTATGTGGGAAAGGAGACTAGTCTGTGCTCTGTGTAACAGAGGAGTGAGCAGTGGCTGTCCTCATCTTCATTGTTCATTAGTAAGCTGACCTTGACCTCTTTTTCTGGCCTGTATCCTGCCAAGAAGTCATGGCATGTGGGTGTTTCCCTTTTATACCTAGTTGCTTAGAAGACATTTTTATTTTGCTAGTTGAACACTAGATTAAAAATTTTTTTTTACTGTTTATTTATTTTTGAGAGAGAGAGAGAGACAGAGTGTGAGCAGGGGAGGGGCAGAGAGAGAGGCAGACACAGAATCCAAAGCAGGCTCCAGGCTCTGAGCTGTCAGCACAGAGCCTGATGTGGGACTTGAACCCCCGGACCATGAGATCATGACCTGAGCCAAAGTCGGATGCTCAACCCACTGAGCCACCCAGGAGCCCCTGAACACTGAGATTTTAAAAATATTAACCGATTTAGAAATAGCAGTAATAAACTCATTTTGTGCGAAGGTATTTTTTTTTATTCATCATTTGGGAAGGAAACGATGCCCTGCTCTGTGCCCCTCTATCTGTCTGGTGGTTTCTGGAAGAGGCAAAGTGCCTGTGAACACACTGCACCGTTTGTGGGACAACAGTCTACTTTGACACAATTACTACGTCCCCCTCCTCTTCTCAGAGTGGGCCATGCCTGCTCTTTAGGTATTTAGATTTAAATGTTAACGTTGTGCGAGAAGACATCGGAAAGGCAGGGTATTTCTAAAGGCTTCTAGCTGTTCCAGAAGCCTCGCGTGCACAACCTCTTGCCTTCTGTAGGACGCCTCTGTTGGCATCTCTTTCGACATCCTGGGTTAGAAGTTGCACGAAGAGAAGCCTTTAAATGGGCTCCTAACCTGATCCAGGGTTCCAAGAGAGACTGCGTTAAGTAAGGTACATTTTGAAAAGATGTGTTTCTTCACAGGCTAGGCATGTCATTGAGAAGTCAGTGCAAAAGATCGTCTCCTTGATTGCGAGGTCCGGTGCTGAGGCAGAGGGGCTGCTGTCTGAGAGGGCCGAGCTCACGGCGCACGACTGCTACCAGGCAGCCGTGTCTCACTTCCGCACACACTGCTTCAACTGGCACTCACCCACGGTAAGCCCGGACCCCCGGCGGCCGCTGGCTGCTGCACCCTGCCTCCCCTGGGTCAACTTAGCCTTTCCCTGTGTCTTCAACCCCTAAAGCTAAATTAAGGTTGTCCACTAGAAATCACGTGGGATGCGTTGCCTTGTAGAAGGTTCCATCCAGGCTGAGGAAACAATGGACTCATTCAGAGGCCTTTGATGGGGACAAGAGGAGGAAGTTCAGCCAAATTCACTGACCATAAATCCTGGCCCCAGACACACTCAGTTGTTTTGTGGGTAGGAGCTTACCAGTCATGACTCAACTCCCATTTATATTTGACTGAAGGCGCATTCCTTCTCTGTACACTTGTGCTGTCCCGGCCAAACACCGGTCACATAGGCTTTTTCCCTTTCGGGTCTGTTCTGACCCCTCCCCAAGCCTTATTGTTGGAGTCAGGTGCTGGCCCGTGGAGGACAAGGTAACAAGCTTCTGCAGATTGTAGAACGTCAGGTGGAAGGCGCCTGTGGTCAGCGCTACGTGATGCCGGGATCCTCCTACGGAAGGGGGTCAGCAAACCGGCCCACGGGCCAGATCCTACCCGCAGCCCGTTTTTATAAATGGTTATATTGGAACACAGCCCTGCTCTGATTGTGGCATCGTGTCTTTGTCTGCATTCACACTGCAGCAGAATTGAGTAGTTCATACGGCCCACAAAGCCTAAAATATTTCCAATCCGGCCCTTTACAGAAAAAGTTCGCCGACTTCTGCTTTAGAGCTGTGCTCTTTGGTACGGTAATTGCCAGCCTCGTATGGCTACTTACATTTCAACTTAAATGAATTAAATTAATTCAAACGCAGTAACGCTTAGTTTCTCAGTGGCATCGGCCACATTTCAGTTGTACAGTTGCCACAGGCGGCCAGCGGCTGCCAAACTGGAGAATTTTGTAGAACGTTTCCGTCCTCGTAGAAAGCTTTGTCGGGCCGTGACGGGCACACCTGGTCATGCTTGAATGCTTCCAGAGATGGAGTCCTTGGCACTTCGGATGTAGCTCTCCATTACTTGGAAGCTCTCGATTTTATTTTTTCATTTATTTACCTTTGTAAGGGAAGTGTTTTTCTTACCTATTAAATAATTTAAAACGTCCCCCTCATTTAATAAATGCACTGTCTCCTGGTGGTGTTACTCTTTCTAAAAAAATTTTTTTTATATACGTATTTTTAATGCTAATGAATTTTTATGAAAAACACAAACACAGCCAGGTGAGAAATGAGCAAAGGAGCTAAATAAAAACTTCACAACGAAAGATACCCAAATAGCCACACACACAACAAAACCGGCGCAGTCCCTCGTCATTCATCAGGGCAATGCAAACAAGCAAACAAAACAAAACACGAAAAAGGCAAATCTAACAGAATGGCTAAAATGAAAGAGACAGAAAACAATGACTCCCAGTCATGACGAGGTGCGAACGGGAGTGTCATTCGTTGCCGTTGGGAGTGGAAATTGGTCACCGTCTGCGGAAAACTGGTACCATTTATGGTAGATTTGTAGTTAGGCCTGCTCTATAACCCAGCAGTCCCACTCCTGAGTATACGCCGAACACAAGTGTCCACACTTCTGTACTACGAGTCAAGTACAGGTACATTCCTAATAGCACTATTCGAAATAGCCAAATACTAGAACAGACATGTCCCTCAATTGTAGCACTGATTAAAAAAAACAAAAACAAAAACAAAAAAAAAACAACAGCACTGACAAATGTGGTATGTTCATATAATGAAACACTGTACAACCGTGAAAATGAACAAGCTCCTGCAACATACCACATGGATGAACCTCACAAATACAATACCGAGCAAAAGACACGGACCCAAAAATGTATATACAGCATCACTCCATTTACATAAAATTCAAAACCAGGCAAAATGAATCTTTGGTGTTGGTAATTACTGCTTACCTTTGGGGAAGAGTACAATTAATGACTGGGAAGGACCTTCTAGGAGGTTCTCGGGTTCCTAGGATGATGGACCGTCTGTGGTGGTTATACACATATATTCACTTTTTCAAATTTCACTGATCTATGCCCTTGATTTGTACACCTTCCTGCTTATATGTAATACTTTTTAACTTTACTAAAAATAAATGTATTACAAGTTTGTAGAAATTTTACTTCTCAAGATCCATTCTTAATTTTTTTTTTTTTAAACGTTTATTCACTATTGAGAGACAGAGAGAGACAGAGTGTGAGCAGGGGAGGGGCAGAGAGAGAGGGAGACATAGAATCTGAAACAGGCTCCAGGCTCCCAGCTGTCAGCACAGCTGTTCAGCGGGGCCTGAACCCACGAACTGTGAGATCATGACCTGAGCCGAAGTCGGACGCTTAGCCAACTGAGCCCTGGTGGTGTTACTCTTTTGTGCTCTGGAATCACACAAAATGAATCTGCTCCTTCTTCCCCATGAGAGTTCTCAGATTCTCCTGAAGGTTTTTCAAGACAAACATCCCGGTTATTTCAGTCTTACCTGTTGCGTGCCATCCAGTTTGGTATCCACTCCCCATCCATCTCTCATCAGTGCGTCCCTCCCAGAATGAGGTTCCCAGAACCAAAAGCCAGGTGGGCGGGGTGGGGAGGTCCTAGGTAATAGAAGGGAGCAGGGCCATGTGGACTCTTCAGTCAGGAGGCCTGGCCCGGCACCGAGAACGCTCCGGGAGGCTCGCCAGCCCTCAGGCAGGGCTGCATTTTTCACAGGAGAGGGAGCCCATGAATCTTCTCCAGATTACCGAAAAGTGGAGGGGGGCATCCATGAGCTGAAGAAGCTCAAGAGGCACAGATCGAGGTGCTTTACCCCCAAAACCACAACAGTGGGATATTCCCAGGTTAGAAGTTGCTTGTGTGGTGGTGATGGTGTTTGACGATGTCTTTTTTGGTGTTTTCCTCTAGTACGAGTATGCTTTGAGACATCTGTACGTGCTGGTCAACCTTTGTGAAAAACCTTATCCGATTGACAGGTGAGCCAGCCCTGGGCCTTGCGGGGTCAGTGTCAGTCCAAAAGCAGAAGCAAGCAGCATTGCTAAACCTTTTCTGCAAGTGGACACTTTGACTTCTGCCAGCCACCCCCTCTCACGGGAGAGGAATCCAAAACTGATGCATCCTCCGTGAGATAATTGTTGGGTGGGTCCGTCATGTAGGATGACCTGTTCCAGGTTGGATTAGGTTTGTGTTAATTTTCTTCAGAGTTGACATGGGTCACCAACGTCTTCTTCCTGTTTTGCACAGAATAAAATTGTCCATGGACAAGGTGTGCCTTCATTACTACTGAAACACTGCCTTCCTGACGGGTTTCCACGTGGGAACACTGCCACTCAGAATGCGTGCTAATCCGGGCAGAAGAGGTAGAACAAGAGGGAGGCCAGTCTCCCAGGCCCTCCTGGGGAGCGCGGACATTCCCGGGCCACCCTCCAGGCCTTGCACAGAGACCTGCTCACCGCTGCCTACTTCCCCAGCCTCCTGCAGGTCCCGTGTGATGCTCCGATAAAACCACAGATTGGTGTGGGGAAAGCTCTGTTGAGTATAATTGCTTCTTGGGAGGTGTTTGTGCTCATTGGTTTGAAGGAGCAGGAAGTTCACTGGGGCCTCTGTAGCCAGTGAAAGTCTGTTCTGCGGAATTTGAAGCAGGTAGGGTGATTTTATCGAAGAGGGATGTATGCCCCAAACGGAAAACTATTTTTAGGAAATCTCATGATTTTTGATTGCTTTTGTATCTTATTTATCAATAATGGGCAAATCTCAAAAAATAAAATTTTATAATGGAATCTGAGTATTAATTTCAGGCCCCTGACTTGGTTAGTGTATGCTCTGGGTCTCAGCTCCCTCACCCCTTCCCACGGCTCTGCCCTTCCTGCCCCTCTGTACTTCTCGGATTTCTCAGCCTCCTGTGCCTTTGCTACTTACTGGTCCTCTTGCCCCAGAGTGCCTTTTCCTGCGTGTGGTAGGTTCTCTAGGTGTATCTGAGGTGCCATGTCTCCCTTGAACCTTCTTCCACTTCCTCATGGCCCCCTGACCCCCTCATCGAAGGTCCTCTCCCCTTTCTGTGTTGATTTGTATCTCTTACAGCACCTATCAAGATCTGCCTTTACTGGGGAGGGGGTGTCTCAGCTCCTGGAGGGCAGAGACTGCCCAAGTTACTGTTGTTTTCTTGGCCCAGTGCCCCACACTGGGAGGTACCCAACGTCGGGCTCGCTAAAGACACGTAAGTAACACTAACCATATCCACGCAGCGGAATATCACAGAGCATTAAAACGGAACGAAGCTCTTCATGTGGGAACGTTAAGCCAAGTTATCAGTCACCAAAGACCATGTGCTACACGATTCCATTCGTATCTATTTGTCCAGAATAAGCAAGTCTATAGAAGCAGAAAGTGGGTGAATGGCGCCAGGCAGTGGGGCGAGCAGAGAACGGGGAAGGAGCTGTAGCTGATCGCTATGCAGATTTCTTTTTAGCGGTGACTAAAAATGTTTTATATCCGCACAACTCTGAAAATACAAAAAAGCCCCAGAATTGTACACGTTCAGTGGAATTATGCAGTTTACTCGTTACATTTCAGTGATGCTGTTTTTAAAAACAAGCCATATAGCCAGATGCTGTGTAGCTAGCTAGCTAGAGAGAAAGCAAATGCGAAACACTAAGTAAACCCCGATATTCATGACCACCTGTCTTTATGAAGTGAGACCTGTCTTACTTAACAGTGATTGATGCCCTTAAAAAATTTTTTTAATGTTTATTTTTGAGAGAGAGAGACAGAACGTGAGCAGGGCAGGGGCAGAGAGAGAGGGAGACACAGAATCTGAAGCAGGTTCCAGGCTCTGAGCTGTCAGCATAGAGTCCAACGTGGGGTTTGAACCCACGAGCCATGAGACCTGAACCAAAATCGGACGCTTAACTGACTGAGCCACCCGGGCACCCCTGATGGATGCCTTTAAAGTTTGGAGTTATGGATCGGACGTTGGGACACTGGCCAGAAGGGTTATGCCCGTGACAAATTCTAGGTGTTAACTTTTGTCTGTAATGGGCCCACTTTCTACCAGCACAGATTACCCTTTCTCAGCGAGGTTGTCCTCCGGCTATCAAAGGACCTCAGGATAAAGAACTCTTACCATCCTACAGATTTGGGGGAGCCCTAGGGTGTTAGGTAACAAGTACACGAAGCATAGTGTGTGTGTCGTCACGAATGGTCAGTGATGGGGGAAACGGAGGGCTGGCTGATGTTCAAAGAAACGTGAGCACTGAAAAGGAGAACTTTTAAAAGGAGTACTTTAAAAAGGCCTCAAGATACAGGTGGGAAGAAGCTCTGTTCTTCTATTTCCACGAACTGTGATACTCTTGTTCTCCATTTGTCCTCTGGAGAATGAAAATATGTTTTATCTACTGAATAAATACAGAAACTCCAACAGCATTCATGGTCCTAAGGGTTAAGAACAGCTATATTTTGTTTCTGAAATAAACGGCAATTGCATAGTTCACAGTGCTTTGGTTTCTTTTTTCTCCCTTCCTCTTGTGGTTCCACAGGCCCCCAGTAGAAATGGGCTCTCTGTGCCTCATATTGTAATTTTCTGTTCAATTTCTAATGAGGTTGAACTTTCCATGTGTGTCACAACTAAGATCAGCCTTTTTTTTTTTTTTTTTTTTTTTTTTTTTTTGTAATTACATCCAAAACGTAGAGACATGTTCTGGCATAAGAGTCACATAACACAAAAATATTCAGAGCAAATTGTGGCCATCTCTTTTCCTCCCCATAAATCCCAAAGAGCAGTTTGGTATTCATCAAGAATCCCCTTCCTCTCTATTAACATACCTATATGCAAATTAGACTTTTTTTTTAACCTTTTCATTATAAAAATGTATAGGAGACCATGCAAAACAAATATGTTGCTTAGTGAATTATAAGGTGAACATCCTTGTAACTATCACCGAAGTCAAGAAACTGAACTTTACCAGCTGTAGTAGTCAAGGTCGTCTGCAGAAACAGAACCAATAGCAGACTGGAGACCCGGGGTCGGGGCGGGTTGCAGCGTAAGTACAAAAGCTGTCTGCAGGTAGATTCCTTCTTGCTCCAGACTTCGCTCCAGGCAGGCCTTCCACTGATTGGATGGGACCCACCCACATTACAGAGGACGATCCCCTTTGCTCAAAGTCTTACCAATTTCCCTGTTGGTCATTACATCCAAAGGACACCTTGGCAACAAACATCCAGAATCACATTTGACCAGATATCTGGGCGCCGTGGCTCACTCCACGTCGACGCATAAACCACACCAGCCATCCAGAAGCCCCTCCTGTTCCATCCCGGTCACGGCATTGTCCCCCCG